GTAATTCAATAAACTATTAAGCAACAAAAAACTGAAAATAATCGTTAAGTACTTCACCCATACTCCAAGAAGGGCTCTCCATAACGGATTTCATATGTATAAGTACTTCTCTAAAAGTGATCAATTTCCTGCATAAATGTTCTGAATATCTTTAAGAAAACTTTATGAAATTAATAGAATATGAGAAAGAAAACCCTAAAATCATATGACTTGAAACAAAAATTTGATACACTCAAGACCATCTTCGTTTAGCTTAAAGGAGAATGACAAGCTCACCAAGCCCTTCAGTCTTGTTTAGCTTGGTTTCTGTTAAAGAATTCAATGTAGAAACAATTCACACTTTCAGTTTATAATTAAAACTACAATTTTCAAGTCTCCCAAATTGTGTAGGGTGAGATGTAAAGTTTGACAGGAATTTTTTCCATTAACTCCCATAATTTGTCTTTTGATAAGGGCCTTTGCCCTTTCTCAAAACAAATGTGTAAAGGAAGAAAGTTCAGTATATAACTTATTATCCTACTGTCTCCATCTGAACCACACACCGATTACGAATCTGCCTGGACCCTTATCTCCCCTTGGCTGTTATTCTTACGATGCAGGGCAATTCAAACTCAACTTTGTTTACCATCAATTTCGATCACTTTTTCAGTAGCAGCAACCCAAATACTAAGTTAATTCACAGGAAAAATACTAAGTTGATGCAATGCATTAAAACGTATACAAATGATCAGCATTACCCAAATATAACAGTAACGTTGGCAAAAACATCGGGCAACCCTTGCAAACTGGTATGAACTGGTGTTCAATGCATACACTAGCAAGAAAACAACTTCTCTTTGTTCTAGAAACAAATTATGGAGCACTACCAGCCAGTTATAAAGTCTCCCACTAAGTTTTCATAATGTTTTGAGGTAAATTTTTAATTATCTTCGGTATTAAGGCCTGACCCAGCAAGTTAGCACTTCATAAGTTGGATGCGCTTTATTCTACATATTCTTATCAGTCAATCTAGGCTTAGGTGGCTAGCATGCATTTGAGCCATCATTTACCCTTGCCACATTTACACCTACCTTTACCTGATAGATCGTATACTTGAATAAAAGAAATACACATGGCATTTGGTAGGGGTGAGCATGTGTAAAGGGTAGAACTAGAACTTGTGGGTACCCACCCCGTCGGTTTCGAGTAGGAACTGAAACTGGAACCAACCCCATTAGGACCCGGTTCTAGTTCTCGAAAATTGGAACCGGGAATTCCCGGCTCCGATTCTGATTCTTATATTGTTGGAACAGGGAATTCCCAACTCTGGTTCCGATTCCTATAGTGTTGGAACCGGGAACCAAAACAAGAAGTAAGGTCAGGGTACCCGAGTAGGAACTGAGATAAAATTATAATTTCTGTAAACTAATAAGGGTGTATTTGTAATTTTTTGGGTGGTGTATTTGTCATTTTTCAAAAAGTAGGGGGCAATTAAATTTTTCCATCAGCCGGTTCTGGTTCCAATTCCTTAAAAAATGCAGGTTACCCGGAACCGATCACCTCTAGCACTTGGAAAGAGTAAGCCATATTTGTATATCATAACGATCATCAGTAAATAAAAAAGGTTAAGTAAATTGGGATTACAAACCGTACTTTGAACTAGTCCGGCACATATCAGGAAAAGTGGAAAAGAATGTTACCAAATTACAGTCTCAAACAGCTGATTCTCACTTGAATAAAAAATTGAAGAGATTTGTTGAGAACCAAACCAAACTGTTTAGCAATGAACTGACAAACTAAACACATAATATTCTCCCACAATGTTAAGATCAATGAGAAAACAGAAAAGTAGAGTAGCTTTAATTAGAAAACAGACAACAAGAACAACAAACAAGGCATGGAAAAAAAGTTAAACATTCTCAGACAGCCGCTGAAAATTTCCCTGGTTCCAAAATCTTAAATAACAAGAAAAAAAATCCAAAACTGCCCAACACCAAGGCTCAACTCCAGATTATTCAATAAGTTTGAAACCATTTTATCTTTCAGGTCTCTTAAAAGGAAAAGGGTAAAGAATGTAATAATACAATAACATATTGAAAAAAATTGTGACTAGTTAGAAGACTTTTACTAGAATGAAAGATACCACATCTAAGTGTCCATGACAAGCTCATTACTTGTCATAACAGATGTCCAACAGCCTCACATACATCAAAAGTATATAAATAAGCAAACAAGATAAAATAGAACTTGTTAAAAAAAGCTTTCAGTATACAAATTCAACAATTATAACCTACGTCTGAATAAACACATTAAAGAAATTATAACAAAGTTTGCAGGTTATACCTCAAAGCCAAAGAAACTGAAAGTTCTAACAGATAAAATAATGGATTTTCAATGTTTGGCCTTTCATTGGCTGCTTTCTAAAATGGAAAATAGTAAAAGTACTTGCAGCATCACGCAAACTCCTACAGCAGATCATATATGAGTAGTACTTCACCAAAACCATAGAACAAAACACCAAAACCAGCAGGTCTAATCTTATGTCACAAAAATGAAAAAGAAGACAAGATAAAGCTGACACCTTTTAACAATGTCTTCAAGTTACAGAACAAGGAACTAAGATACCATATCTAATAGAATAGTTATACGAACGTATTACCTGTGTTGTAACTTAGGTTTGCATTGCTTTACAAATTGGGAAGTAGAAAAGAGTATGCCTGTTAAGTCAACAACAACAGACAAGCAAAGTTGCTAACAATCTGGCAGGAAAATTCAAAATGGAGGGGATAACATGCAAATTACCAAACAAAAAATAAAAAGTTTACAACATAGTAATTACCAACAGTTATGATGTTGATCCTGCTATATGCGTAGCCATCTATAAAACTGACACCATAAAGAAAAAAAAAAAATACAATAGCAACAACCTTAAGAATAGAAGAAATATCGAGATTCAAGAAAACCAGCAATCATAAACACTAGTTGGAACTTTGACTATAAATTAATCTTTGTAATGAGTAATTAAAAAACGAAATTGTCTTTGCACCACAAGTTCAAATAGTCTAGTGATACTGAACCAAATGTAATAACAGACAAATCAATGAGGCATGGATGAAGAAAATGTAAAATTCACAGCTCAAAGCTACATAAGGTACAAAACCTTTAATATCAAAAAGAAAAAGGATAGGAAAAAAAAAAGATATAGCGTCAATATTCAAAAAGGTGGGGTTCAAATCTCAACCTCATTCTTAGCTAGCATTTACCACACACCCAACTAAAAAGATGAAACTGAATATTCCAAACAAGGGAAAAAGTTGTTTGTGCTCCCAAGAGACTAGCTGAACACTTAGCACGTAAACAGTATATCAAAGCAAATAGAGACAATCTTCAGAAAATAAAATAACAAACTTCAAGCATATAGTGCTTTTTGAGTTACGATGCATTTGTCTAAAGGAGTACTATTAATAACCATCATGAGGTAAAGCCTCCTATCAGAAAAGACAAGTGTTAATTAATAGTTAGTTAACAGAATTAAATCTGCTTTTATTGTCAAAACAAAATAGAAGGATGTGGAGATGATATTTGAACAAATGCTTCCAGCGTATGAACCTCAAGCACTATCAAACTCCTCCAACCCACCGTAAAGAAAAGAACATCAAACAAATAAACAAACAAGGATTGAATAGACACCTAATGCATGTCCATACAAATAGAATAGCCTACTTAAACAGAATAGTAAAGGGCCCCTCCATGATCATTAACAGAAAAATAAAGGGGTATTTTAATCATTCTGTGTATCTCATTGCCTCCCAAAAAAAAGCATGCATAATTTCTTCCCACTGAAGACCAAAAGAATTAACAACTATACCAAAATGCTAAGACCAGACAAGTCAGGTAGCGATTTAAGCAAAATCCATTAAGTCATAATAATAATAACATACTAAAGGAAAACCAAACAGTTGAACCACAATAGACAGACTTAACTAAATTTATTAAGAAGAATCTATTAATAAACTCCATCCAATCATGCAAAACAACCTTCTTGACAGCTATCTCCAAAACACTCATTGTGACATACAGAATGAACAGGTTGAGATCAAAATGTGAAGGACTCTAGCTATTTTTTTTTTTTTTTTAATTGTTACTCTAAGATTGCATGTAAGGTTACAAGGCTTGATGCCTAAAATGATTACTTTTCATTGATCATCCTAACATAATTCTTCCTATCACAAATGCTTCAAGCTTTTCATTAGGTTTAAGTACATAGAAATTGAAAATTGTCCAAAACTTAAGCAAATCCATAGAAAATAGAATTCTTGAGCATAATATAATGTTACCAGGTTCTCCTCGTTGTCATACACATATCATAACTCATTCTGACCACCATCGCTACCAGTCAAGCATCCCATGAGCAAAACAGATGAACATAATCATAAAGAGCAAAAAAACATAAATGACCAAGAGAATTGAAAAACCACGACACAACATTGCCTTTATAGCATTGACAAAAAGTTTACCAAAACCTCGTTTTAGATCAATAGTTTTAGAAAAGAATCACATCAACAAAGAATAACATGGGAAAAAAGAAAATAAAGAAACAACAACAAAGAAACAAGAACTATGAAACTTAGTTTTAACTGTAATTCACATATAGTCTTTAATCGCTTGTTAAAAAACAAGAATGGTGGAACAATTGTAAAAACTACCCAAAATCAGGTAATACATAAAAAACAAGGAAGATGGATAAAAGAAATAAACACAATAAAAATAAAATCGCATGATACAATAAACAAAAAGGAATTTAAATTGGCACATGACTTGTTTCCTCTGCTAGGTCTTTTAATTCTTCATCGACACCTAGTCCTCAGATGAATCATGAACCCAGTTTAACAAATGAACCCAGTCTTGTGCATGCATAGGACTCTTCATCAATCCTTCTAAAGGACAATGGAACAACATACTTACAATTGAACCCTCAGAAAACTGGAAGGAAATACTTTAGTATTGCACAATTACCGTCTTGATATAATCATCTGTTTACAATTTTGTGAAATAAAAACTACAACACTATACTATGCATGCAATGTTGAGCCAAAGCAGAGAAATATTATATACGTATTCGTCAAAGTCACAGCACAAGCCTGGATGCAAAAATACTTTAAAGAAAAAAAGCTTTCAATTAAAAAAAATGCTTTTCCATAACATTAATTAAGGTCTGCTGAAAAGTAAATGTGACCATTGACACTTTCTGCTACAGCATCTGGGAGCTCCAAAATTGTTTTCTTTCAACCTTGCAAACACATGTAATTTTTACAGTCAAGAAGTCCATTACTGAAAGTTAAACATTGAATTAAAGACTATAAAATAACATTATACTACCTCAATTTCAATACTACTTTTAGCATTCCTTGTCACATCTACAAAAGATCCTGCACTTTCAACCAGTGAAAAGCTCACAAGTTACACTGCCAAAAAATTGCCTTAAAAAATCAACGAATCCAAAACTTAATAAATATACTAATCAAACCACAATTAACGTCTAACAATTAGATATTATATTGGAAACTGTGGCACAAATTGGAGGCAAAAGAGAACAGGTTCCATCTCTTGTATGGTTCCTCAGTAATGGTCCAATGATTGTGGTTGGCGAGGAGGCATTTTTGGAACGTAAGGACATACAACTATACCTACAAGACTTTTTAACAGGATAGGTTGCATATTCATCATTGCAGAATGCTGGGTGATAGAACATAGCTCTGAGAAAAAGGCAAAAATTAGATTATCACCAAGAAAATTGAATAACTTCTGCAGTAGAAGCTAACATATTTTTTACAGAAACTGCTGCATTTGGGAGATCAAATTTTACTTCAGCTAAGAAAGTTTCAGGTGAAAAAAAAAAAGGGATAATTGCATGGGAAGAAATACCTTTGTAGCATTTTCAAGATCATCAAATGCTTTTGAAACAGGAGGACCTCAAACCTGAAAATCATTCGCAGCTTGCCTTTTGCCAAGACTCTCAAAAACAAACCTGAAAGCAATATCATACAAATGGCTCAAGTATTGCTTTTAACAATGCAGAAGTTGAAGGAAATTGTCATAAGGCTCAAGAACAATATAAACATCAAATTGACAAGAAGTTCAAACAGAGGTAATAATAATAGCTGTGCAACTAGTGTTTAAGGTGTACCAAAAGTCTGCACTTCCCCATGGCTCAACCACAATATAATGCTAACAGGTTCTCCCAGTTGTACTCCACGAATCATATCTCATGCTTACCACCTCCACATACAGTCAAGCATCCAATAAGCAAACCAAATGAACACAATCAAAAAGAGTAGAAGAATTTAAATGATTAAGAGAAACAAAAATCCACTATGCAATACATCAATATTGCTTGTATAGCATTGTGTAAAACTAACCAAATCCCTGTATTCCAAAATACCCAATAAAAAATCACATAAATAAGGAAAACATGGGAAAAAAAAGAAAAGAAACAAACATCAACCAGAAACAAGAAACAAGAAACAAGAACTGTTTCAAGAAGTCTTGAACTATAATTCACAGAGTCTTTAATTGCTTGTTGAAAAGCAACAATGGAAGAGGAATTGCGTGAACAACACAACATCAGTTAATACATAAAACAACGCAGATGCATCAAGGAAATAGGAACAGTACATGGTAATGTTAAGAATATCACATGACATAAATAAGGAAAACTAAATTGTTATACTGACACATATGATGGATAATGTCACCTCCCTGGATCTTTAGATTCTCCACACATGCCTACTCTGCAGAAGAATCATGGACTGAATTTGACTCCTGAACCCAGATTTATGCGTGCCTATAGACCAGGCTCACCTTCAATCCTTCTAAAGAACAATGGAACAGCGTACATACAGTTGTACCCTCACAAAGACCAGGCTCACCTTTAATCCTTCTAAAGAACAATGGAACAGCATACATACAGCTGTACCCTCAAATAACTGGCAGGACATAGTTATTTGAGTATCTGTTTACAGTAAAAAAATCACACATTCATTAATCAAATCAGTAACCAATGGAAGTGCAATAATTAATTTAAATCACAATGCTAATAACTTGGAAACATTTGAGGTGATAAATTGAAATGGGGAAATCACGACTTAGTCATGTCCATACACACATGAATAATAACAACAATAATAACCATTTAGGATTTGAACCAGTGTTTGCCCACGACACAGGCAGTTCCAATTTTAACATCCTGAAAGTTGGTATAATCAAGCAATCAGAACAAAAACACAAATTATGAAGTACCACCACAGAAACTTTGGGTCACAAACTTTGATGAGCTAGTCAAATTATGCAAAATAACTGTAGAAAAAACCAATTATCAGATAAAATAGTAATAATAATAATAATAAACACCAACCCACCAAATAAAACAACAAAAGACAAAATGAGAACCGAACCTGATAAGCGAAGGATCATGGGGTGAAGAGCAGAACAAGCAGAGAATCTATTTAAAGATGATTAAAAACGATATTTAACTTCGATCACAAAGCTGATTAAATATATCAAGTGCATAAATTGCCTGTTCCTAAATCAAATTAAAGGCACAGAGACAAGAACAAAACACAGCAGACTTTACCCTAAACGGTTAGCGTTTAATCAATGAGTCCGGATAATTTTTTCTTTGTAGCCACTGAACAGAGTAGCAGAATCCCTTAAGAGTAAAATTCCACAATATCCAGATTCATCCAACACAAGAGATAATAAAAACAACTAAAAAAAAATCAAAGATATAGTCTAACAAAATGATAGAATAATAAAAGTAGAAATACAGTGATAACAAATAAAAAGTAAACAGCAAAAGAAAAGAAGGAACAGTAACACCATCAATGGTACAAACCGATTTATAAAAGGAACTTCTCTCTAAGGCATCTGCACCTGTTAAGTGTTAACTCATTCCGCTATTTATGAACTTCACCACTTTAGTATCCCATAAATGTTGAAGGTGGCTGAGATCATCAAGAACTTCAACTGATACAAAGACGGTAAGAAAAATTGATTAGTGAAATTAGTTTCGAATTTCGAATTACCAAGAAATTAAAAAAAAATTACAAGAGAGACGAGAGCAATGAAGTTGAAAGAGACAAGAGAGACTAAAGCCTGCGAACAAAAATTACAAGTGAAATTATTTGTTAAGATGGTTTCGTGGAAATGATTGTTACCGTTTTGATTTTGAACAAAAATACAGTAATCCTTTGAATTTGATTTAAAAAAGACCCATAAAATGTATATATCACGTGTTTAGGTAAAAATACAATTAAAAACACTACTAACAGTTACTTTTTTAAATTGAAATTGAAAAATAGTAATAGAAATAGAAACTGGAATACGAATACAAATGGAATTTGAATAAGAATTAAGAATAATAATAGAAACAGGAATAAGTATAGGAAGGGAACTGGAATAAGAATAGAAATAGAAATTGGAACAGAAATAACAAAGGGAAGAGAAATAGATATGGAATAAAAATAAGAATTAGAATACGAATATAAACTAAAATAGAATAAAAATAAAAATAGGAATAGGAATAAAATAAGAACAATAATAGAAATGAAAAAAAAAAAATAGAAATAGAAACTGATATACAATTACAAATCGGAATAGAAATAGAAATAAGAATAAAAACTGGAACATGAATAAAATCTGGGAAAGAAAGTAGAATAGGAAAAAAAGGGGATATAGGAATAGGTAGACCTGGCAAAACACTATCTGTACCCGCGGATAAATGGGTACCCGCATCCAACGGATGGGTACAAGTAGACCATCATTCGACCCGTATGAAATTGACCCGTATGAGATCCGCCCGTGAAAATAACAGATGGACCGGATCATACCCGCGGGTACTCGCATTTTACTTTAAAAAAAAAATTCAAAAACCGAAAAACATTTCTCTCTCATGCTGCTCTGCCATCACCCATCATTACTCATTAAACTCACCCTTCTTTTTCTCTCTCTTTCTTCATCAATGCTTCTATGAGTACTGTCATCTTCCATTAAACTCCATCTCTCTTTTTCTCTCTCTTTCTTCATCAATCCTCCTTCTTTCTTACAGCTCCTAGCCCACGCATATTTTTCAGCCATCTCTGATCTCTGTCACGCAGACATGCAACCATCTCTCCAGTCGGTAGTTGCCTATTTTGCCATTTCTCCTTCACGCAGCCATCTTGCACGCCGATGCCTAATCATTTCTCTCAATCACAAAATTTCGAGTTCTCTTGCTGCCATCTCTAATCTCTCTCACGCAGCCACCTCACCCAAAACCAGAACCCTCACGCCCAATCTAAAACCTGCACAACCCAATATTTGACACCAAACCAAAATTTACGGTAGTGAGTTCTAGGGTTTTGTTTTTTTTTTTTGTTTCGGTTAGTTCAATTTTGTTTACTGAAACGTGGGAGACCATTCAGAATTGATGAGTTTTACTATTATCGCTTGTGGGATGCTTTTATTATTTGTTGATTTAAAGTTTTTTCTTATCGAGTATGTATATCTATTGCCCACTTAGTAACAATTTATTAAATTATTGTATATTTTAATTGGTCTTGTTTAATTAATGTTTATGCTGCTAAATTTGATAATTGAGAAAAAAACAAAAATCACTTTATGCGGGTGACCTGCGGGTTGACCCGTACCCGTACGGGTGGGTTCGGGTCATACATATAGCTACCTTTACAAAAAAATTACCCGTGAACCCATGCCCGTTTCACTCGTGACTCGTTACTACCTGGTCCATACCCTCCTGACCCGCCCGTTTGCCAAGTCTAAATACGACTAGTGATGTCAATGAAAATGAGAATAAGAATGCATATGTAAATCCAGATAGGAGTAGGAATTAAAGTAAGAACGAGAATTGAAAAATGAATTGAAACTGAAATAAGAACGAGAATTAAAATCGAAATATATAATAAAATAAGAATAGGAATTGGAATTGGAATCTGAATAATAAATAGAACAAGAACAATAATAGAAATAGAAATTTAAACTGAAATTAAATTTAAGAATTCAAAATTAAAATTTAGATTTCAATAATGAATTTGAAATCCACTTTATCAGTCTGCATAAAAATTATTAGGACCAACATTATAAATTCTAAATACACCTTTATTCTATTTAACATTTTGTTTTAATTTTTTGAAATATTCCCAAATATAGTTATTTTTACTAATCTTAATTCTCAAAATGTTTAAAGGATATATTTAACTATAAAATCATATGACTTAACTTAATTGTCGTAATGAAAATAACAAGGACAAAAATGGTTAGAATTCGCTAGACTACCAAGTCTAGCACTATCTAACGTAGTCAAGCATGTTTTAACTAAACTATTAAATTGTACAATTAAATGATAGAATCGAGTTAAACTGTCGAGTCTAACATATTTTAACGTTATATATTAGGAATGTATCATTTGTTGTTTCATTAAGCGTATAATTGGTAAATTATTGGATTTTTTGAATAAATTTGTCATTTAAATAAATTTAAATTTGAAGAAGAAAAAGTAAAGAAGAAAATTAAGTTCAAATTTGATATTGGAAAAGATGTGTAAACAAAAAAATCGAATTAAATTTATAATTTTAATATATTTAAATAAATATTTAGCATTACCGTTTGATGTAATTTTTGCCATTTCAGGAGAGAATTTACAAGTATTTAAGGATCTTGACAATAATAGACTGAAACCGAGGGGAAAAATAATGAACTTATCTGCAAGATACAATTTAAATTTGCGACACTAATTTATAAAGATCTTCCAAGTTGTTAAAATTGAGTAAATGACTTTTTTCCTACCCAAGGTTTGCCTTAATGACATTTTTGACCCAAAAAGTTTCAAAATATCACTTTTCTACCTAAAGTTTATATTCTGTTAATATCCAAAATACACTTCAGTTTTTTTAGCCGATGTTCGACGAGCTACCAAGACAGGGTAAGAGGGGTTTTGTTGAGTAGAGGCTGGTATATCGAATGGTTGTGGCTAATTGAATATTCATTGTTGGAATCAATCAAAAATCAACTAAGAACAGGAACCCTAACTTTGCAGTGGCTGGCAATCGGTGAGAAATCAAATGCTGGAGTAAGAGGGGTTTTGTAGAAAGGAGACTGAAGGTTCAAATGATGGTACAGATAGAATTATTGCCACCAGAATTGGCTTTGGGTAGTAACAGAATATTAAAGTGGTATTTTTAAACTTTTTTTAGTTTTTGTGGAAAAGTGTCATTAAGGTAACTCTTGGGTGGGAAAAAGTCATTTACTCTGTTAAAATTCTTATGGACTCCAATTATTTAAGGATAAACGTTAAGGACGTCAGTGTTATTTTCCCATTAGTTTATCATAATTCCTATTATTTATAATAATATCTGCCAAACTATTTGTCATCCTCGCATCAAAAAAAGGATTTTGGTACTTAATTCCACTGAAAGAATAAGAATGGGAATCTGGGTAGTAAGGGCTCCTCTTCCTCTTGGTGTAGGAGCATTGAATTGTAATAATAAGAGTTTGCATTTGTAGTAGAGAAGAAAGAGACTTAACCTTATCACTTGTACTACTAGCACCAGCACCAGTACTAGTGTATTGGAGGTTAATGAGATACGAAAAAGATGCAAAAAATGGCAATGAAAGGGCCTGTACTCCATTAATTACTTGGTTTCTCCTAATCCTAATTCACTTTCCAATTCTTCCTTACTTCTTGTTCATGGCTTTGATGCCTCTATTCCTTACTAGCACAGGTTACTTTTCAATATTATCATTCTTATAATTTGTTTTATATGCAATACCAACCACACATTTCATTATTTGGATACATATCTGGTGTGTGTGATTCTTCCATCAAGCTCAAGGAGTTGCGAGGTAATAGCTCGACCCAGAATCAGTCCGACTCTATTGATTGTCCGACCTAGCATAAGCTCATTGAGATATAGCTGACCTAGCACAAGCTAGTCGCAAACGATCTGAATGATCATTCAATCAATTCCCAGATAATTTTAGATCCAAGATATCTCAAGAATGATTAGATTGACAACAATCCGTGCACAATCACAAGAATATCAGAGTCGCATTTCAATTTAATTGTAATCCCTTAATTTTGCTTTTTCATTTGTACAAACTTCGTATATAAACCCCCTCAAATGATGAGGAAAGGGTTGAAAAATACTCCTAGAATTACCACTGTAAGCTCACACAACAAATACAAAGAACAATGGACGTAGGCTTAAGAGTTCATCTTGCCGAACCATTTTAAAATCCTTCTTTGCCATTTACATTACTGCATTCATTATTCATCCATTGCTAGTTATCCGGAATCACACACATACCGGTTCTAATCTCGCCAAGGTCGATTGGATCACTCTAGTTGGTGTAGATTTTTGTATCAACAATATCTATCTATCAACTAAATTAGAATTTTTCTATCAGGAACATTACTGTAGTGGAAAAGAACTACACTGTTTATGCCATTGACCTTCTTGGGTTTGGTGCTTCAAATAAGCCTGCAGGTTTCTCATATACCATGGAGGCATGGGCTTAGGTAACCTACATCATATTCACATTTTTATGGGCTCAAGTTTTTATCTGTTCTTTGGATAATTGAGTTTTATCTTATATTTCGTTTTGAAAGTTGTTGATTATTTGTTTTGATTAATGGGGTTTGTGAGTTTTGGTGACAAATCTTGGAATCATGGAAATTTTTATCATTAAATTATTTATCCTTTGTTTAACCCACATCAATTTCTTATCCACTGGGAATATTCATGCTAATTAACCTCATACTCATTGCATACAGTTAATATTGGATTTCTTGGCTGAAGTTGTTCGGAAGCCAACTGTGCTTATAGGGAACTCTGTTGGAAGTCTTGCTTGTGTGATTGCTACCTCAGGTATGCTTGGTTGCAAAGAAAACAGTTGCTCCTAATATTAGCCTTTTTGTCATCTGGGGTTTTGCATTTATGCTTATTTTACTTCCCCTACAAGAGTCTAGTCAAAATCTTGTTCAAGGGCTTGTGTTGTTGAATT